AAAGAGCAATTAAATACATTTTCATTTCAACAACTGAAGATGAGAAACCAAAACAGATGGGCAGGGGGTAGAATAAATGAGAGAAAAATTAGTATTCATCATGCCTCTTGGCATTCTCATTCACCAATTTACTCTATAGTCTATTACAGTAAATCAGATCTAGTTCTGCATTACAGTCCCTGATTTCTTCTTGTATGAAATAAAAACAAAAATTTCCCTGAAAATTTCTGGAACCATCAGTAAGGAGCCTCTCTATATCATTATGAATGAGCTGACTCCTCTTTGGAAATAGGTAGGTTATAAATTATAATAAGTTAGAAAACAAACTAGCAAAGGATTCCTAAAGAACACATGGCCCTAAAAAGCATGGTTAGATATTATCAAGTATCTTTCAAGATCTTGTCATTGAAAAAAGAGCATTTGCTTGCTTACCTCCTGAAAGTGTCTGCCCAAAATACATCTTCACTAGAAGTTAAATGGAACTTTTAAAACAATGATGAACTTAGACTCAGTGGGAAAGGAAACTTCCTATTCTTCATAACTTTTAATATAATTAAGACTTGTTTTTAACCTATGAATTGCAACTTATCTCTGTTCTGAATTTACGCTCTAGATCATACATGCAAAATTTGGAAAGGAATATGAATTTTCTAAGCTGCCACTCCAAAGTTCAATAGCCTAAAACAACACTGTATATATCTTCAAGATCCTGTAGGTTGCAATTTGAGAGACACTCCATTGGATAATTCTTTTGCTGTCATGCCTGGGGAGTCCCAGATGGCCCCATTCACATGATGGGGCCTCAGTTGGAATGGTTGGGCCTGTCTTTCTCAAGATCAAGTTGCCTCTGTTCCTCAAGGAGGCTAATCTGGGATTGTTTACAAGGCAGCAGGGAGCCAAGAATGTGGAAATAGAAACTGCAAAATCCCTTGAAGCTGAGGCTCCAGAGCCACAGTACTCCCCTAACACGCTGCGAGTCAGAGTGAGTCATAAAGCCAACCCAGATTCAAGGGAGGCAAACAGACTAGACCTCTTAGTGGGAGGAGTGGCAAAGAAGTGGTAACCATGTTTACTGCACCCCAGAAGTGAGCATTGCCTTTATCTGTTCAGGAACCCATCTTGTTGTTTCTTTCTTGATAGTGTTTTATATCTCTTTGCTTCCCCTCCATCCCTCCATTCCAATAACTCTTTGCCGGATCAAAACTGAATGACCTCATGAAGGTATCACAACAGTCACCTCATTGACAGCAGTCAGTCTCTGCCTCTTCAATCACAAGACAGTTTTTCTCTCTAATCATTGTTTTTATCCTATTTCCTGTTCTTCATACATCTGTGTGGTTCTCTATTTCCTCTCACTTTGACATTTCCTATTTGGCCTCCCCCCCACCCCCATCCC